ATTCAAACATATTCTAGACATTGATCTTTTTGTGGAAATTAGATATCAATATCATGGGTCACAGCCCTTTTGCTTCTTTAACAGTTATCCCATTTAGGATGTCATGTTATTTTAGTTTGGATACTGACACTAAAGAGTTGCTTTTTTGCAATCTTCTGCTGAAAATTGAAGCTAGCCTAATATTTCCTTTAAGTCAGCTATATTATGCTTTTCAAAGAAAAAAAAAGTCAGCTATATTATCTTGACTTTGACACCTTTCCTCTGGAACCCATTCACCGGGGCCTTTCTTCCAGGAGGGTCAATCACTATTCTCTATGAAGCAGATGGCGATAATAAATAGATCACGTTAATGGGAAACAATTATAATAGTGTTGATTTAATAATCACTTATGTGCATGCATTTGTTTGTGGCTTGGTTTGAAGATAAGGACACCTCATTTTGTTTTGATTATTCTTCCAAAATTGCCTTTGTACAGTCGAGTAGAGAGACAGGTGGATGTGTTTGGTGCAACAGTATTACAGAAATTATATTGGAAAATTTAATCTTTTGACTTTTTGATAATGAAACTTATTTTAGATTATCCAAGAAAGGAGTATAAACACTTAAATTGGGATGGCGGGAGTGCATATAATATAATGAGGCAGATACACTTCTTGCTATATTTTCTTCATCTTCTAATTTTGTCTGTCTGGTATCATCTTCCAGGGGACTCAATTATATGACCCAAAGGCTGGTGGGTGGCGAGACCTAGGCATGCTTGATGTTATGCAGGCAAACCCTGTTTCCTCGAAGACATGAAATTAAAATGGGCTAATACTATTTTTGATTTCTGATGGTCTCATGATGTTTCTGTTTTAGATATTTGGGAGGGCAGGTCGACCACAGTTTGACAAAAGTGGTGAGGGCATTATAATTACATCTCATGACAAACTAGCCTACTATCTCCGATTGCTGACAAGTCAGCTCCCTATAGAAAGTCAGGTACTTATATGTCCTTTGATGAACTTGAGGATTTATGAGAAAATGAACGTGAGGATTTTAAAATAGTTTATTTGATGCATATGTACTCCTTCCCTTCTTAATGTCAAAACACAATGCCACTCCCTTACTTCAAAGAAGAGCATAAAATTTGGATGAGGTCATTGATGTGCATGTATAGTGATTATAAAAAATGGTCAATGTAGTAGAATATTTGCATGTGCTTGTAAACTGGTGTTGAATAAGCAATTATTACACCAATAAGTTGATCTACAAAATTTGGGAACATATTCTAATACTTAGTTTTCTGTCTGTTTTTAATAAATCATTTGATTGCAGTTTATTAGCTCGTTGAAAGATAATTTAAATGCAGAGGTGGCATTGGGTACTGTAACTAATGTCAAGGAGGCTTGCGCATGGCTTGGGTACACCTATCTATTTATCAGGATGAGGTTGAATCCGCTGGCATATGGCATTGGATGGGATGAGGTACCTAATAGTTTTATTAATTGTATTTTGTGATTGAAATGTAACATGATTTCTGGATTTGTCCTCACAAATTCAGATATGCAAATAGTAGATGTTCATATATTGCTGCTTGCCTCCCTTCACTTCATTTGATCTTCCGTTTTAATTAGTTGATGATAACTTGATGAATATGTTTTTCTTTGGCTCCTGAGAATTTTAGATTTGAGAGGCTGATAATGAGTGCCATTTTCTTGGGGCCCTGGCTTAATGATGAGCAGGGTGTTCTCATTACTTGATGATTGGCATTTTGCTGGATACTTTCTGGGGATTTGGATTTTCAGGCTGGAGATGAATGCCTTTGTTTTTTTTTTTTTAACTTTATGGGGTGAAGGGGAAGGGTTGTTTTATGACCAGTAGGGTATTAGTTTTTGCTTGACAATATAACTTAATTTTTTCTACTGTTATGAACATGTTCTTAGATTTTTGCATGGCCTGATTCGTAGAATGCTGCTCTTGAAGAGGGTGTATGAACATTAAATCTGATGTGCTTTTATGTTTGGCAGGTTATAGCAGATCCTTCTTTGAGTTTAAAGCAAAGAGCTCTAGTGGCAGATGCAGCACGTGCACTAGACAAAGCTAAAATGATGCGTTTTGACGAGAAAAGTGGGAATTTCTATTGTACAGAGCTTGGTCGTATTGCAAGTCACTTCTACATTCAATATTCTAGTGTTGAAACTTACAATGAAATGCTGAGACGCCATATGAATGATAGTGAAGTAAATTGTTATGGCCACTACACTTTTTACATGTTTCAATCAGTTTACTTGATGCATTATCCATCTCTTTTCTTTTTAGTTTTAATTTTTTTATTTCATTTTGCCTACATTGTTATTCTATCTGAATATTCTTGTAAACTATAGTAAAATAATATTGGGATTGCGGATTATCAATCTTTAGTTGCCTGCAATTGTCTGATGGTAGTCAATCTTTTAATTAGGCTTCTTGGCCTGTGATGCGGTTTCTACAGTCATTTAAGACTAAGAGGCTTAATATAAGCTTATTATTTCCATTGTTTTGTCACTCTGCTACTACTGTAGGTAATTGAAATGGTTGCCCATTCTTCTGAATTTGAAAACATTGTTGTTCGAGACGAGGAGCAGAATGAATTAGAGATGCTGGCACGCACGTCATGCCCATTGGAAGTTAAGGGCGGTCCTTCAAACAAACATGGAAAAATTTCAATTCTCATTCAGGTATTCACTTCTTGTTCAGCAATTAATGCTGTTTATTAGTTGCTAAGTGAAGCAAATTGTAATATATAATGATTAAAGTGGTGGTTAAATACTTTGCAGCTATACATATCGCGTGGCTCCATTGATACTTTTTCATTAGTATCTGATGCTGCCTATATAAGTGCTAGTTTGGCTCGTATCATGCGTGCTTTATTTGAAATATGCTTGCGCAGCGGCTGGTGTGAGATGTCATTATTCATGTTGGAATATTGCAAGGCCGTGGATCGCCAAATTTGGCCCCATCAACATCCTCTCAGACAATTTGATAAGGATCTTTCACCAGAAGTTTGTTCTGCACGCTATTCTACATTGATTGCTCAAAGGACTCATTCTAAACTTTCTCTGATGATGCATCTTTACTGGTTCAGATATTGAGGAAGCTTGAAGAACGAGGGGCTGATTTAGATCGCCTTCATGAGATGGAAGAAAAAGACATTGGTGCTCTGATTCGTTATGGACCTGGAGGAAGGGTACTTCTCTTTTAACGGCATGGGTTGTCTAAAATTTTTCATCAGAATGATAATAAAGACTCTTGCTAACCTTTTTCTTTCTCTTGGGATTATGGAAGTTGGTTAAGCAATATTTAGGATATTTCCCTTGGATCCAGTTATCAGCTACGGTTAGTCCAATAACAAGGACTGTTTTAAAGGTAATAACTGCTGTAACTATTCTTTTTTCTTTAGCTTAAATTCTGAAGAAAACGGCTTTTAGATTGTAGTTTTCTGTTTCAAATTAGGGGTACTTTATGAGCATAATTTTTTTTTCAGGTGGATTTGGTTATATCTCCTGACTTTATTTGGAAAGATCGTTTTCATGGTGCTGCACAGCGTTGGTGGATGCTTGTTGAGGTGCTAACTTGCAAGTCCTTCACTGGTTTGTTAGATTTCTAGAGAAAGCAGGGATATTTGTCTGATTTCATTTCTTTCAGTTGTTAGATGATTAAGGATCATGAAATTTCTTTATTGACTACCATGAATTTCTAAGAAGTGTAAAATTAATGTACTTCAAAATTTAAGTAATTTATGACACTTCATTGTTTAGTTGCTGTTAGTTATCTGTTTCAATGCATGTGGAGATTCTATTTGACATGGCTCAATAATCCGGCTTTATTCTGTCTGAGTATGTGTGTTTTCGAATTACAAACTCTGCTCTTTCATGCCATATGCTGGCTTTCTAGGACTTAATATCAGTTGCTAACTTCATTTTCACTGCATTGATCTCTTACCTTAGCTTACTGTTGTTTTGAACTATTGGTGTGAAGTTTTGTTGCTTGTTTGCTTTGTCGTTTTGTACAAGTTATGGCTTTGTTTAATTTTCCATACTTTGATTTACATGTTTATTGGCATTAGAGTTTTAGGACATCTGATTTAATGGAGAACTTTGAATAGGACTCTGAGAATGACCACATCTACCACTCAGAACTTTTTACACTGACGAAGAAGATGGCTAGAGGAGAATCTCAGAAGCTGTCCTTTACTGTGCCGATATTTGAACCACACCCTCCACAGTACTTCATTCGTGCTGTTTCTGATTCATGGTTGTATGCGGAGGCTTTCTACACTATATCATTCCATAATCTAGCACTGCCAGAGGTTTTTATTCATTCCTGTTAATGATATCTGAAAAGTTTGATTGAGCTGTTTTCTTGTCTTGTTTATTTCTTAACAAAAGCCTGACTAATGTAAAGGTTATGCCTCATTCAGGCACGTACCACTCATACAGAGCTTCTTGATTTAAAGCCTCTGCCTGTAACTTCACTTGGCAACTGCACATATGAGTCCTTGTATAACTTTTCACATTTTAATCCAATACAAACGCAGGTTTGCTTCAGTCAATTTACTTTAGGTTTTGTTCATTGATGCCTTCCACTTCTAGCTTTTAACTATATTAGTCTTACTTCAAAAAATGTAATTTGTTTCTTTTGCTCCAATTGTCAGATCTTTCATGTCCTGTATCACACAGATAATAATGTTCTATTAGGAGCTCCTACTGGTAGTGGGAAAACCATTTCTGCTGAACTTGCTATGCTTCGCCTGTTCAATACTCAGCCTGATATGAAGGTATGAGTGTTAATTTTTTAATGACATAATTAAAGAGCCTTGAGTATAAACCGTGATGGTAAGGACAGATAAATGTTAAAAAAAGAAAAAGAAAAGATAGGATGAAAATGAGGGTTTCTTGCTCTTGCTCCTGTTTCTGGCCAGCAGGCAATTTCTAGTGAAAGTAAATATTCTTGTGGATTTATTACGATAATACCTTGCCCAATGAAGGGTAAGTTATTTACTGGATTTGAGTACAGCTGTAGCTACAATATTCTGATGTATTCAGTAGTTTTGTTGCAACCAACTGATATAAAGGGAACCTTCACTGCTAACAGATTATGTACTTTCTATATATGCTTATATAATAGTTGGCATAGGCCTTCTAACTGTATAATAAGACAATTTTCTGCATTTTGTCAAGAAGTTGAACTCTTGGTGTTTATCTCTATTTAGCTTGTCACATTTATTAGTGCTTCATATCCTGAAGTTTGGTGACTGACTGCAGGTTATCTACATAGCACCTTTGAAGGCCATCGTACGGGAAAGGATGCAGGATTGGAGGAAGCGTCTTGTCTCTCAGCTTGGGAAAGAGATGGTAATGTTATTATTTTGCATATGGTTATATCCTCACATAGATGCATACATTCCGCATATGCATACACAGTTTCTGTCATGCAATTGAATGGATGAAACTATCTATATTGGTTAAATTTTGCAATGAGTCCCTTTACTCTACCAAAATGGTGGATGTAGTCATTATATAGTAATTTATGAAAATTGAGATCTTGTACTTTCTAAAATTAACAATGTTAGTTCAATATGTTAAATATTTTTTGTTATCTATGCTGATATGGCATTTTCTTGCTGATGTGGCATTAAATATTATGACTATTAATGTTGACATGGCATTTTTGAGCTATTTCACAACATTCATTTCATGGCTTTAAACTATGGATTACAAAAATTCAATTCTTCTCTATCTCACAACACTCTTTTCCTAAATCTTAGGAACCTATTCGTATTTTTTATCTATTTCTTTTCCATTCATATTTAAAATCATTAGCTCACATTGGATGATTTTATGTCTGCACTTACAAAATCTATGTCAGTGCTTGGTTATGCCATATCAACACTACTTTTGCATCATTTTTGAAATGCCACATTATCATTGTCATGTCATCATGTTGAATGTCATATCAGCTAAAAAAATGTCATGTGAACACATCAAAATGTCATATCAGCCTAGATAACAAAAAAATTTTAACACATTGGACTTACATTGTCAATTTTAAAAAGTACAAGGATTCAATTTTTACAAATTATTGTACAGGAACTAAATCCAACACTTCGCTATAGTACAGAGACTGATTACATAATTTGACCATCTATATTCACATATTTTAATATACTGGTATTGATTTTTATTTTGAAAGTTACTGATGTTATCTTGCTGGTTTTTTAAGGTTGAAATGACTGGGGATTATACTCCTGATTTGATGGCCCTTTTGTCAGCTGATATAATTATATCTACTCCGGAGAAGTGGGATGGTATTAGTCGGAATTGGCATAGTCGAAGCTATGTCACAAAGGTTTCCTCATAATTTTTTCTTCTTGTTATTTGTCCTTCTGAAGATAATGCAAATCTTAGCTGTATGCCCATATGATTATGTTATGGTGTCCAGGGATTAATGTGTTATATCTGATCAATAGGTTGGTCTTATGATATTGGATGAGATTCACTTACTGGGAACTGATCGTGGACCTATCCTTGAGGTATTTATCCTGTATCTACTGCAATATTCTGCTTAGTTGTAGTTAGATTATAATTAAATCAATATTCTCAAACACTGAGGAAGTCCTGTTGTATAAGGTTTATGAAAAACACAACAAAAGTAGCGAAAGAAAATAAAAATATCTGTTCTTCGGTCATTTGACCTATTTCCATGGGAGAGATGCCATAGGGATTGACTATAAAAACATTAGGAGAATGCAGCAACTTTTGGCCTCTCAAACCCTAACCCTAACACACCAAAACCTCTTCTAAACACTCTAATTTCACCAAGTATAGTAGATTGATAAAAGTAGGTTAATTCGGTTAGTGAGCCATAGAGAGGTCTTGCTGAAATTTTCCTGCTTTTCACCAGGATTGAGAGAATAAATACAGGACATACTCCCAAAAATTACTTGATTGTCAAGTGCTCAAGCATAACAATTGTTGGAACTTTATATGTTGGACATTTAGAATTAAATGGCTAAGTTTGTGTGCTAGATGTCAGAGTGGCCCATGAAAATAACCGTACAATTTGATAAATAAGAAATTACTTGGATTCTGTTATGAAGTGGTCAAAAGGAAGAGTTTAAAAGAAAGCATCTTAAAATGTTATCGCTTTGTTTTTAGAATTGATCAACACTCCTTCCATTGTAAAGAGAGGAAGAAGCCCAGGAATAAAATGGCTTGTCCTGTAGTAAGTTGTAAACAAAGTAATAACGCTCCTGATGTATATTCTGTCCATAACTTGTGTAAATGGCTTTAGATGTTGTGGGTTTCTGAACTACATGGATTCTGAGCTGGACCTGATTATGGATATGGATCATACTGCAATAAATATTGATGTCTTAAGTAGGTCAAAGTGGCACAATGTTCACATAGCCTATAGCATACAGTGGGAAAATGCTTGGCTATCCTTGTTGAGCCCAACCTGATTAGCTGATGCTAGGCCTTCATCAGGCTCTTTAATCTGCCACTATCAATTCAAGATGTCCTTGTAAATTGTAACTATTTTCTTTTAGAATTGATTGGGTACAATTCTGCAGTTAATATCATGTGAACTTGTAGCACATCATCTCAGTTTAGAAAATTTTGTTTCCAGGTTATTGTTTCAAGGATGAGGTACATATCATCACAAACAGAGCGTGCAGTACGCTTTGTTGGCCTTTCTACAGCTTTGGCAAATGCAGGGTATGTATATTTTATGCTTCCTCTAATTAGTATATTCCCTTGCTTCACATGTTGCAACCTTGATGTATTCTTTTAAACGTAGAACTTTAAAACTGTTGAAGGCAAGATGCAGCAGAACCAATTTTAGCTCTTTACATGGTCATCAGTGTTCCCATTTGGATTCGAGGATCCTTAATGATCAATTACTATTCAGGCTACATATCATTATTTTATTTCTTTTTATTGATTGGTTTTAGCCACAATGAACTTATGCATGGAGGAGGTATTAGGTGACAGTTTTGAGAAAATCTGCCTAATTAGGTTTATGGTAGCCTATGGCTTTGATAGGGGTTAGGAATGGGGTTTACAGGTCACCTAGTTTGATTCAATTACGACTTGATCACAAGAGATGCCCAGATTTGAAGGACAAATTTTGGTGGACTTCTGATTGGCAACAAAACAAGAAATAAAGCAGGGGTTTGACTCCTGCAAAACCCTTGTGCTACGAAAATGGGGATTAGAGAATTTAGGCATTCACAGTTTCAAATTTTAAGGAATGGGATGGTTAGTATGAGTTGTAACTTGTTTATTATGTGAGTGGTTGTTATATAAGATGCCAAGATGTGTGCCCCACAAATTTAACAATTGGTGCATCCTTAAAATTGCGAGGTTTGTTTTTTACTTTCTTTTTTTTTGTACCTTTCTTTTGGTGCTTTTGAGATGCATTTTTTTTCTTTATAACCTATATTTTATTATTATTATTTTCTTTCAGTGATTTGGCTGATTGGTTGGGTGTTGGTGAAATTGGACTCTTCAATTTTAAACCAAGTGTGAGACCTGTACCTCTTGAAGTTCATATCCAGGCAAGTTTCATGCATTGTTTCTTAAGTTGAGTTTAGCATTTTGGTAAAATCTTCTTGTATGTGTTGAAGTGCCATATATGAATGAATTTTTATGAATGAGGATTGGAAGGAAAAAACTTTCCTATTAATTTCTGGCTAAAACGAAATGCAAGTTTAAAGGTATTTTCCCCCCGAAGTATCTAATTATGATTTTAGGTCACATCTGTAACAAAATGAGAGCATTTCCTATTATAAGCACTTCTGATATGCATTGATATGCTTGTGGCAGCATAAACATATTGCTTGCTCCGCATTTGAATCTTTTGGTGCTTTCGATTTTAAGATTTGTAAACTTCTCTTTTCATGTAAAAGACAAAAGTCTGTCTCCATAATGTGGAGGACTATTCTATTTATAATAGAATAGAGAATATGAAAAAGACAAACAATCCTAAACCTACATAAGTCATAACAATATATATCATGTTTTTAACACTCCCCCTCAAGCTGGAGTATAGATATGGATCATGCCCAGCTTGTTACAAGCATAATCAATCCTAACCTGAGAAAGGTTCTTAGTTAACGAATCTGCTAATCTCTCTCCTGTGCTCACATAGGAAGTAGTCTACTGAATCTTCTCTAGTACAAAATGACAATCAACCTCAATACGTTTTGTCCTTTTTTGCACCGAATTAGAAGAAATATGTATAGCTACTTGATTATTTCCCTAAATCTGCAAAACCAATTTCCTCCAACAAATGACGAATCCACATAAGCTCACAAGTAGTTTGTGCCATAGCGCGGTAGTCGGACTGTGCTGTAGAGCTACCTACCACATTTGGCTTCCGACTCTTCCATGATACCAAATTTCCTGCCACAAACACACAATACCCTGTAGTAGATTTCCTATCATCTAGTGATCTAGCCCGATCGGCATCAGTAAAGCCGTCAACACAGGTATGTCCATGATCTCCATATAAAACCCTTGTCTAGCTGCCCCTTTTAAATACTTTAGAATATGAACCAAAGCATCCCAATGAATGCTAGTAGGTGCTGACATGAATTGACTTACTACACTCATTAAAAAAGAATTATCAAGACAGGTCACTGTCAAATAATTCAATTTACCAACTAACCATCAATATTTCTTAGGATCTGCAAATGCCTTCCTCTCTTATGCTATAAGCTTCACACTTGGGTCCATAGTAGTCTCACAAGGCTTTGCTTCAAGCAGTCCAACATCCTCAAGCAAATCTAGGACATACTTCCTTTGAGAGAGAAAGATACCCTTCTTGGAGCAAGTTCCTTGAAATCCTTAGAAAGTATTTCAAGTAATCCAAGTCTTTTGTTTGAAGAGTCATGAATACCCTGTTGATCACTACTTGTAATTACAATATCATCAACATAAACAACGAGCAAAATACAAGCATTGTCAGTATGTCGAAAGAACACAGCATCATCACAAGAACTTTGCAACAGTTCAAACTCCAATACCACATTACTGAACCTCCCAAAACAAACTCTAGGAGACTATTCCAACCCATACCATGATTTTTTCAACCTGCACACTTTACCAAACTCCCCATGAGCAATAAACCCAGGTGGTTGCACCATATACACCTCTTCTTGTAACTCACTGTGAAGAAATGCGTTCTTCACATCCTATTGGTAGAAAGGCCAATGATGAGTAGTAGCTAAAGAAGGAAATATGCAAACAGAAGTTAAATTAGTCACAGGAGAAAACTTGTCTGTATAATCCACACATAGGTTTGAGCATAGCCCTTAAATACCAATGGGGCTTTCAATCTAGCAATAGTACCATTAGAGATTCATCTTTACTGTATACACCCACTTACACCCAATAGCCTTTTTACTTGATGGAAGACATACTAAATCCTGAGTACCACGAGTCTCGAGCCAACATTTCCTCTTCCATGGCAGCCCAGAATCAAGAGAAGCAACAAAGGAATGAGAAGAACGAGATAGATTGTCATAGGACATAAAAGAAGAGATGGAATGGGTGCAATGATGTTTACTTTTTTGAAGAGCAATAGGGAGATCAAGATCATAATCTAATGACATAGAAGGGGTAATGGAAGTGAATCCGACAACGCATATGGGCTGAGGAACTACTGCATCAATGCCATGACAATGGGTGTTTTCCTATGTGATAAGAGGTTGAGATGAAGCAGATGGAGTATCAAGACCAAGAGTACTCACTGTACAAGTAAAGAAATCATCTACTGACTCGGTCTTAGAAATAGAGGAAGGAGGACCAGCAAAGTAAGTATTGTACTCAAAGAATGTAATATCACTAGAAACGAGATACTTGCCTAACTTTAGTGAGTAGCATCGATAACCTTTCTGTGTATGTGAGTAACCTAAGAAGATACACTTTAATGAACAATTATCTAACTTACTAACATGGGGTCACATATCCTGAACAAAACAGGCACAATCAAATACTTTGGGAAGTACAGGAAATAAGGACTGGTCTAGAGATGATATTATATGGTGCTTGGCCTTGAAAAACAGAGGAGGGCATGTGGTTAATAAGTAAAGCAGTTGTATGAACAGCATTGGACCAAAAAGCTTTAGGAACCCTCATCTAAAACATTAAGGTTCTAGCAACTTTCATAAGATGACAGTTCTTTCTCTTTGATACTCAATTATGTTGATGAGTAATAATACACGAAGACTGATGAAAAATACCATTTTGTATCATGTAAAAGGTAAACCACTCAGAGAAATACTCTTTAGCATTATCACTATGGAGGATGCGAATGTTAGAGAGAAATTGAGTACAAATTTCTACATGATTTAACACATATGGAAAACAACTCAGATCTAGATTTTATTAAATTTAACCAAGTATTTCTAGAAAAATCAACTAATGTGACAAAATACTTAAACCATTTTCTGAAGTCACAAGACGTGGACCTCAAACATCAAAATGAACTAACTCAAAGGGAGACGTAACCCTCTTATTGACTCTAGACACATGGCGCATGATGGTGCTTGGCAAACTCACAAGTCTCATATGGTAAACTAGACAGAGATGTCAAATCAAGACGCATTTTCTTCAACACTGCTAGACATGGATGACCAAGTTGGCAGTGAAGTTGGAAATGGGAAAGATCTTTGCAACAGGCAATTGATGCACCAGCAGAAGGAAAAGCAACAAGTACTCCATCCAGTAGAAGTAATCCATTTGATTCACTCCCACTACCAATAATCTTCCAAGTCGAAAGATCCTAGAAGGCAACACAACAATGTAAGGCTTTAGTTATTTGGCTAAACGACAAGTTAAATGGAAAATTAGGAAAATACAAAATTGATGATAAAGGCAATGAAGGAGTTATGACTCACTACCACCACTTAAGACTTTAATAGTTGATCTATTAGCAAGAGTGATAATAGTACAATGATTGGAATGTCTATAAGTGGAAAAAATACCTAAATTTCTTGTCATATGGTCAGTGGCACCTAAGTTAATGACCTAGTGATGAGAGGAAGAAGAAAGACATGCTGTGGGATTACCTAACTTAACTAAGCTAGCAATAGAAGAGGATGAAGGCTATTGAGACTTCTAGAACTGGTTAAACCTAGAAAACTCCTTATTAGACTACTGTACGGCCTTTAAGGTGGGGCGTAGTGGAGTCACCAACTTGTGATGCGATATGAGCAAATTTGGAGGGAACTTGATATTGTTGTTGTTGCCCTTATGAAGGAGATTGATAATGATAATTTTGTTGTCCTTATTTGGGTTTAAAGTACTGATTCTTGAGGTGACCTTGTTCTCAACAATTATCAACATATTCTTCGACCTCCATGACGTCCTTTAAAATTGCCTTTCCCCCCACCTGATCCTTCTCTATATCCATTGCCAAGCCAACTAGTGCCCTGTGAGGCTAAGACAGATTGATTGGACACATCACTAGTAGTAGGAATACTTTACTTGGTAGCACTCAGTACAGTTGTAACCACATCAAACAAAGAAGAAACATTGTTGTTAGCCAAGAGCTGAGAACGAATCACGCCATACTTTGAATCTAACCCATATAGCCAGCCAAAGACAAGTAGTCTCTCATGTTTTCTTTCATGTTAGCCACATTAGTAGAAAGTGGCATGGCGGTGTAGAAATCTTCAATAGCACACTTATAATCATAGTAATAATCCATAATTGTCCTTTCATTCTTACTTGGACAACTAACCTCTTGTTATAAACTATACAGTCTCTTCATATTCTTTGTACCTAAAAAACACTCATGTAATAACTCCCACAACTCTTTAACTATCGTAGTATGTTGCATTGAAAGAACCATTTTTCTATCAATACAATTAACAATCTAAGAATACAATCTTCCATCACCTGTCATCCATACCTTGGTAACATTTTCTCTATTTTGATAGGGCTCAGTAAAGTGTGCTTCCTTCTCAAGTCTTTTTACATTAACTTTCACTAGAGACTCCATTCTACAAAATTAGAACGATCTCCAGCCAGCATAACATCAACTATTTTGTGATGGGAGGACAAAACCTCAACACTTTTACTACCATTTGACACCATCTCACAGACCCTCAAACACCACTAATAAAACAATCAACTCATATTCAGCTAACAGGTCCATCAATCTAAGTAGAACCCAATGCACATAGTCAAAACGATTCGATGAGTGCGTTTTTTTTTTTTTTTTAATTTTCTTAGGTTTTGAGTACCTAGGCTCTAATACCATGTAAACTTCTCTTTTTGTATAGAAGAGAAAAGTCTTATCTCCACAGTATGGAGGGCTATTCTATTTATAATAGAATGCAAAATGTGAAAAAGATTAAAGCAACCTTAAACCTACATATGTCATAACAATATAAATCGTAGTCTTTAACAAGATTTATGGCAAGTTAAGTGTTTGATTCTGTTAGAAAATTAGAGCTGCCATCTGACCCTACTTTTAGCACTGTAGAGTACTCGGATATAATAAATGATGAAAAAGGGGTTTCAATCGAGGCTGAAATTGAGTTAAAGTTTGCAAACAGTTGGTGTTGGGCTTGTCAAAATGTTTGGCTCTGCAAGCTTGAGTTAGATATTGGAGCTTCTTAAGTTAAACTTTCTGAGCTTCGTAGTGTTTGATTCAAATGCTCACAAGATAAGCTTGTTTAATGATATGTTAATGAGTTGTTTGTAATTTTTATTTTTTCTATATATAGTATATGTCTACACACGCATACACAAATATAGTTATTATGTCTTTTATGATTGTGACTTAATTATTAATCTAAATTTGTGTGTTGGCTCACACTTGAAGCAGCTCCTATCAGATAGGAGATTAATTTGAGCCTAGCTCGCCTAGCTGAAGCTTTTATGAAATGTTCTTCAATGAAGCTTGAACATAAAGTCTGAGCTTGAGTGTGTTTGAGCCTAAGCCTGAGTTTCAAAGTTTTTAGATTGATCTAATCCTGTGCGTCTTAAAGCTTGTTCCAGCTTTGCTTGATTCCACCTCTAGGCTTAAGGGACCATCTGCTTAAGTGACCATGAGTATTTCTTGCCACTGATGTATCAACTAGACACAGTATGTTTTGAGTTCTTGAGAATGTCTATTACTTGCCACTGAAGTATCAAGTGGACACATTTATATTTTGACTTTCTGAGAATCTGTTTGACCTGGGTTTTGTGCACATATTGGAGGGTAGTGCTTCATTTCAATTTTCACATTTCTAGTTGATATGGAAGTGAAGAGGAGCCTTACAACTATCTTTTCAATTCTGAGCTCTTGCCTTTTGGAACAGGGATATCCTGGAAAGTACTACTGCCCAAGGATGAATAGCATGAACAAACCAGCCTATGCTGCAATATGCACCCATTCACCAACAAAACCAGTCCTTATTTTTGTTTCATCTCGGCGTCAGACAAGGCTCACTGCTTTGGACCTTATTCAGGTGAGATCTGTATTTCATTGGAAATGTCTATAGTTCCATGGCTTTCCCGGTGTTAATTTCTCTGTTTTGTTTGAACTGAAGTTTGCAGCATCAGATGAAAATCCGAGGCAATTTTTGAGCATGCCAGAAGAAGCTCTGCAGATGGTGCTTTCCCAGGTCACTGATCAGAACCTGAGGCACACTTTACAGTTTGGCATTGGGTTGCATCATGCTGGACTGAATGACAAGGATAGATCTCTGGTTGAGGAACTTTTCGCAAACAACAAGATTCAGGCAGTTCTCCATCACCTGACTGGTCTTTCTTACTTGGCAAAGATGCTAATTTTAACATAAATGAATTGTTTTTCTTTCCCAAATACAGGTTTTGGTTTGTACAAGCACATTGGCGTGGGGTGTAAATCTTCCAGCCCATTTGGTAATCATAAAGGTGAGGGAAACATTACCTGTGATGTGTTCAGGAAGTCCTGGAAGTGTTATCTGATTTTTCAGGTTAAAAATTTCAAGAATTTAAAAGATAATAGCCATTTTAATTTGGGTAAAGTACTCTATCACTCCTAACTTTTAATCATAATTACATACAAATCCATTAGTTTGCAAAATGGACACTCCACCTCAAACAACTAAACAGTGTTAAAATTTAAATCGAAATGTCTAAA